CATCTAGGTCTGGAGGGCTAAGCTCCCCCTGGAAAGGACAGGCAGGCTCAATACTCTCTGTGGGCCACGTAGACTGGGTCTTCATCCTGTATCTCTCAGAGGCCTTCATAGTGACACATCTGGGCCTCAAGGGTCACTTTTCCCTGGCCATTTCATGCAGGCTGCACAGAACTTGCTCCTTGGGCCTCACAGACAGGCCTGTCACCAACTTCTCCCAAAGGAACTTATCAGGGCTGCATTCAGCTTAGGCAGACTGATCCGCTCCCAGAAATAATAGGCAGATACACAAGCCTGGATTGGATCTGAAAGGCACATCTGGTTTGTAGCCCCTCCTTGACTGCCCTTTCAAGGGCCATACATTGGTCTTGAGAGTTGATCTGTCCTCCGGACTTACAGGCATTAATCTACTCCCAGAATCAGGAAGAAGTGAGTACTCCACTCAAGCCTAAAAATCACCAGAGAAACACAAAAAGTATGAGAACACAAGGAAATATCTCTCACTCAAAGGAACATAGTATCTCCTCACCAACAATGAAGAGCATACATAAAATCACTGACATGTCAGAAAAGGAATTCAGGATACTGATCATAAGACAACTCAGAGATATGAAAGAAACAGATAATAAAATCCAGGAGGTGAGAAAATCATTCCATGGCATGAAAGAGGAGCACTATAAAAAGCAGATACCCTTAAAAAATATAGAACTTCTGGAGATGAAGGACATAATACAAGAAATAAAAATCTCCTTTCAAAATATTAACAACAGATTAGACCATGTTGAAGAATATCTGAGCTTGAAGATAAAAATCTACAGTTTAGTCCAAATCACCAAAAAGAATGAAAAAAATATTAAAAATGAGGATGCGGGCCCCCAGGTGGCATAGTGGTTAAAGTTCTGGACTCTCACATGGCTGACTATGGTTCAAGTCTCAGACCTGGCGGCTTGAAAATAGTGCTGGGCATGGATATGTGTGGGTCTAAAATAAAATCCTGAGGGGAAAATGGAGAAGAGATTGTGGCATGGCCATCCCCTCTGGTGAGTGATTTCTTACTTTCCCTGTCTCTTTCTCCAGCGAGCGCACATGCCCAATGGCACAAGAAAAAAAAAAATGAGGAGGACAGGGCGAGTGGGTGACTTGGAGGTTAGGGTGGCTGAATCACACATGGTCTACTGTGTAATTTGAGTCCTGGACCTGGCAGCTTGAAAATACTCTGGAGGCATGCTTGTGTGTGCCCAAAATCCCAAGAGGGGAATGGAAGAGAAGGGATTGTGACATGGTCATATTTGCTGGGAGGTGATTTCTCACTTGTCCTCTCTGTCTCCAGCAGGCACACACACCCTATAGCAAAAAAGAAAGAATGACATATGGGAAGTTTTAGATCATTAAGTGGCCGAGCATCTGCATAATGAGTGTTCTGGAAGGCCAAAAGATTGGTAAAGGTATAGAAAATGCCTTTCATCAAATACTATTGAACATTCCAAATCTAGAGACACATATTTTCTAAATCTAAAGACATAAAGACATCCAAATCCAAGAAATACAAAGGCAGCAAATAGAATCAAGGTAAGAAGATTCTCTCTGGGGCCAGTAGAAGGCATAGTGGTTAGGACACTGGACTCCCACATGGCTGACTGTGGTTGGAGTCCTGGATCCAGCAGGATGCATGTGTATGTGAACCCAAAATCCCAGGAGCAGAATGGAGAAGAGACTGTGATATGGCTACCCCCATGGGGGAAGGTGGTGGTGGTGGTGGTGGTGCTTTCTCACATTCCCTCCCATTATTTCTCTCTGTCTTTCTGGCAAGTGCACACACATTATGGCAAAAACCTTAAAACAACAACCAAAAATAAAACAAGAAACTTTTTCAAGGTACATAATTGCCAAAATGGCAAAAGTCAAAGACAGAGATAATATTTTTAAAATGGCAAGAGTGCAGTGCCAAGTCACTTATAAAGGATACTCCATCAGACTCTCTCAGCAGAGACCATGCAAGCAAGGAATCAGTGTTCAGACATATTTAAAATTCTGAAACAAAAATCATTTGAGCCAAGAATACGATACCCAGCATGATTATCCTTCAAACTAAAAGAAATAAAATCATTCCCAGATAAACAAAAAATTAAGAATTCACCAACAGTAGGTCAGTTCTTCAAGCAATATTTAAGGGAGTACTATATTAAGGGGAAAAGGGAAATAAATAGAAATAAAGCATAAAATAACTAGGTAAATAACTCACAAAATGGAAGAAGTCCACACAGATCAATAATAACATTGAATGTTAATAGATTAAATTCCTCAATTAAAAGACACAGATTGACTGAAGGAATGAAAATGAAAAAGAAGCCTCCTATATGTGGCTTAAAAGAAACACCTCACTGATAAAGACATACATAGATTGCAAGTGAAAGGATGGAAAAAGTCATTTTATGCAAATGGAAACCAAAATACTGGAGTTGCAATAGTGCTATCAGACAACATAGACTTCAAGCTAAAACTGTAAAAAGAGACAAAAAAGTTCACTATACATTAGGTTGTCAGGAAAGTCATGACATATTTTTCCATGCAAAAATGTGTTCTGACTTTCCCAACAAAAAGTGTTAAAGGCATTAATTCACTAAAAAGATATAACAATTATAAATATTTACACACCCAATATCAGACTACCCAAATACATAAAACAAAGACTGCTAGGCCTAAAAAGAGAAAGAGACTACAACACCCCACTCTCACCACTGGACAGGTCATCCAGACAAAAAAATGGATATACAGTTAAATGTTGGTTAGTACAGCCAGTGTGAAAAACAATATGAAGGTATCCTAAACATTTACAAATAGAACTACCAAATGACCCAGTAATTCCATTCCTGGGTACTTACCCAAAGGACAAAAAATCATTGTCAGAAGGAAGCTTGCATATCCATGTTTATGTAGCATTATTTATAAAAGAGAAGACATGGAATCAACCATGGCTGGCCCTCCAACTTTATCTAAATAGTGCCTTAATATATAGAAAAGAACTTTCTTAAAATAGCCAAATCTGAATACTGAACTCCATCTTTCTCATATCATCACTGGCTATCTCAAGGCTTTGAACTCCTCTATTTCCATTATTGACACTCTTCTGTTTTCATCTACAAGTTATCTCCTTAGGTCATTTGTTCATTTTTTTCCCTGCAACTTTAATTATGAACAATGACTTCTGAGTCTCCCGAGTGCTGAAGTCACATAATTGGCATTGAGTATATAGTTAAAATTTTTTGAGTGACTTTCCAATTGCCAAGAAATACCCACTTGAAGGTTATCATCACCTGGAAACCTGAAACCAACCTATTGTCTTCCCCTTAAAATAACTTATTTTTCTGACATTTTATTTCTGCTAATGACAGCAAGAACATTTATTGAGTGATTATCATGTGTCAGGCTGTTTTCAATATATTACCTTATCGACTTTTCAGAAAATGTGATGAAATAGGTGATATAATGAAGAAAACAAGGACTAAAAGCAAGTGAATCTATGAGCAATTTGAACTCAGGTCACCTAACTCAAACCAGTATCTTTCCCAACACACCTCAGGCCTGTCCAAATCACATAAATTCATTCAGTTTGTTTTTTACCTGTCAAGCAGAGGCCCAAATGTTGACAAATGCAGTCAGAAAAGATAGACCTGAACTGGTAAGTAGAGATGAGCAAAAAGGATTAAAAATTCAGCAAATCAAAGATTAATGATTAAAAATATGAATAAAGAGAATTTTGAAAATGTACTCAAGATTTGCCCTATTTGTTGGAAGCAGGTTCTGATATGATATAAATGTTAAGTTTGGTTGATTTTGTTCTGAATCTGAGAATTTTAGGACCACTTCTCAGATTCTGTATCAAGAATATGAGACTTGGGACCAGCAATCGGCATAATGGCTATGCCACTGGAGTCCCATGTAGTAGACCGCGGTTTAAGTCCTGGACCCGGTGGCTTAACCTCACACTGGGTGCGTGTGTGTGTGGGTATGTGCCCAAGATCCCAAGGGGAGAACGGAGGAGAAGGGATTGCGGCATGGCCATTCCCCCTGGGGGTGATTTCTTGCTTTCTGTCTCTGTTTCTCTGTCTTTCTGGTGAAAACACTTGCCCTATAGCAAAAACCTCTCCAAAATAAATAAATAAATAAATTTTTAAAAATAAATTAAAAAAGAGTATGAGACTTAAACAAAGAGGCAAGAAAGTCAACACATTTCATTAAAAAAATTTATTTTTGGAGCCTATAAATGGATAAATTCCAAAATAGTAGCAATACAGAGTATTTAACATTATTTTAATATTTCTTTTTACTCAACAGTCCTCCTTTGTATTTTGTTTTTTAAAAACAAGTACACTGGATTAAATCAATAATATTCTTAATTCCAAGTCAATGCCTGAATATATTTAATATCTATTTTGAGCATATAATAAAGAAAATTAATTTCCTTAAGCACTTTATTTCATCCAGAGCTTTATAATTACTTCACATTCTGTCACAAATGATAATCAAATGCCCTACCTAAGTAGCTAAAATCATAAAATTATTATAAGCCAAGTCAATGGAATTTATAAAGTTAATATAAAACAGTAACTATACCAATACATATGTCAATTGGGCCATACTAGAAATATGCAGAAATTACAAGTTTTATTAAAGAACAATGTCCTTGGGCAGAGAAGAAAGAGGTTCATATCATCAAAAATTATTAGGAAGATTGTAGGCAAAAAAAAAAAAAAATTGGCCTACAATTCTGACCAAATAAAGAAGGGAAGAGGAGGACATCATCACAGTCGATGTAGTGGTGACAACACAATTATCACTCTGTCACATGCTGGTTCTGGTTGGCTACCCCAAAAGCTCAGAATCAGGCTTTCCAGGCATTCTGATGCTTTCCCATTCAGTTTCTCACATGGAACATAAACCAACACCTATGATAGCAATAGAATACCAGACCTGTATTTATCTGAGAGTCAGCAAACAACAGGGGGAAAAACTTACAGCCACACTGACATCAGGCCATTTCAATACCCCTGAAAACAGGGGCTAAAACAGGTCATTAAGAAATGGTATTCAATGGTATTCAAAGAGTATTATCTAACGTGATTTATCAAACAAGAAAAATCCAGTAAACTTTCATGGAAAAGGCCATAGTATTTGAAAATTAGGAATGTTTTCATGCTGATTTTTATCAAACTGGTACTCCAAGCCATTAAGCTGGAACAAATTCCAAACTCACACTTACTTATATCACCTCAGTTTAATAATCCAATAAATGACAAAAAAGACAAACAATGAAAACAGCATCATATAGCACAATAGCTTTGTTTGGCTCCCTCTAGACAAGATCTTCAGTCTTCCCATAGTTTTACCTAAAAATCCAGTTGTGGAATCAAATTGGGAATCCTGTGAGAAGAGGAAAAGAAAATACAAGTTAATTTCTAATATTCTATATATACACATTCAAGTGACTTTACTGTTATTAGGCTGCATTTTGAATGACAATTTTTGGGCTTAATCATTTCAGAAGCCTGTTTGTAACTTTACATAATTGGCCTGATCACTCCATGCAAAATAATACAATTCTCTCAATAAAGAAAAAGCTTTTAGTTATGCAATAAACATTTCTTTCAGTCCAACATGGTAATTCAAAAACTCAAACTATTGATATGTCTTCTGATTAAGTGAATGAAAAGAAACCATTAATAGTAAGGTAAGTAGTCTGTGCACCATTGAAAAGGCTTTTACTTCTACTTTTTGTGTGGTATTGCTCTCCAAGGTCGAATGGTTGACTGCTACTCAGTGGGCAAATTCACCCAACATGTGACAAGCTTAGCAGTAAAGTGTACCTTTCAAGAAACTTTTACTTAAATATCTGACTTTAAAGTACAGTAAAATCTATTAAAAGTTAAGAGGATATCAGGGCCAGTAGGTAGCATGGTGGTTAAAATACTGGATTCCCATGTGACTGATCATGGTTCGAGCCCCAGACTTGGCAGCTTGCTTTCTCACTTTCCCTGTCTCTCTCCCTCTCTCTCTCTCTCTGGTCAAATTAAAATAATAATTAAAATTATAATTAAGATTAAATAAATAATTCTTTAAAGAAAGTTAAGAGACTATCATGTAGAGGTGGTAAAATATAGTGAAAAATTATAAATATGGGAGGGGTAAGAAACTACTGTATTAAAAAACAGTGGGTCACCAGGTAAGTCATGATGCATTTTTCCATAGGAAAACAGAAAAATATGTCATGACTTTTCTGACAACCTAAAAGGAGGAAAAGTCATTTATATGAGAGTACTAGTTATGAATTAGAAATATCACACTTTTTTTTTTTTTGAGAGATTTTCACTATAGGGCGTGTGCGCTCGCCAGCCAGACAGAGAGGGACATTAGAGACAGAAAGCGAGAAATCACTCCCCAGGGGGGATGGTCACGCCGCAATCCCTTCTCCTCCATTCTCCTCTCGGGATCTTGGGCACGCACGCACACGCGCCCGGCGTGAGTTTTAAGCCACCGGGTCTGGGACGCGAACCGCGGTCGACTACGTGGGAGTCCAGCGACATAGCCGTTACGCTAACTGCTGGTTCCCGAAATATCACACTTTTATAAAAACTTCAATTACTGAGATGTAAAGTCCACATCAACGTAATACCCTTTGAAAACTAGGTCTTCATGTCATTCATGCACTTTAGATTTACTGTTCTTCTCCAGAAATTTGGCCTGGAGAGGGACTTTGATGAAAATCAGCATCAAAACACTTGTAATTTTCAACACTATGGTCTTTTCCATTGAAGAATATTGAATTTTGCTGTTTTATAGATCATATTAGATAATATAAGTGCTCTTTGAATACTGTTTGTTGTTGTCGTTGTTTTAAATTTTGTCAGAGGCACATGTGCTTGCCAGAAAGAGATGGGGGTAGGGGGTGCTATTTAGAAAGTACCTTACATGGGGAATGATCATGTTCTCATCTCTTATCCTCCATCTCTACTTCCTTGCAGGATTTTGGACACTCATGCACACACGCCAGGTATATTTTATAATCTACAGGGTGCAGGACTCAAACTGTGCTGTAGGCCATGTGATCCAGCCAGCCACCTTGACCACCACAGCTGGTGGGCTGGCCTGAATACTGTCTCTTTATGATTCATTTTAGCTCACATTTTATGCATCAGAATCTCCTGGTGTCTTTTTAAAAAAAATACATATATGTAGCTATCTCTCTGAATCAATTCTGAATCAATATATTTAAAGCAAGAATCAAGCATGTGTATATTTAAGGAGTTCCCTAGGTAAGGTTCCAGTACAATATGAGTAAGAATGTTGCTTTCGATGTCATATTCAATTTTGAATAGTACAATTTTAAAAGCATATGGGAAAACTAAGGAAGGTCTAAAGAAGTTTGCTATTCAAAATAAACATTAAAAAGGAAGCTCTAATAAAAAAAGGAATATGTTGCTAGATAAAAGGCTCTAGGCTATTCAAACTTATGATTTTAGTTTAAAAGTAAGTTTAGTAGGAAATTAAGTAGAAGAGATGTTTCCATTAAGTACAGGAAATTTGGTTGGTTGAATATAAAGTACTTTGTGGTTGCTTGGCTAATAAATTACTAGTAGTCTTTACCCATTGATAGAAAGTTCTAAGGCCACACAAAACAGTCATTTGTCTTGAGTTTCTAACAACTGTTTTTAAACACAGGACTAAAAATACATCACCTTTCACCTCCTCCTCCCACTTATTTGGGTAGGCAAGATGAAAAATATGAAAGTATGGCAAAAATAAATATGGCTATTCCAAACCAATTAGATACAAATGAATAGAAATCAAAGACTTACGCTCTCCAGATCTATTTCAAAATAGATAAAAGTTAAAATGATATTATTTCCTGATTAACAGACTAAATTTGAAAACTAAAATTAGATTAAATTGCTTAAAGTTAAAATCATAACCACTTACCATTTCAGCTAATAATTTATTTTGATGTTTAACTTCATGGCCTATTTCAATGGAAAGCTATAAAAAAAGAAAGCATATACCTTATTACTCATAAAAAGGCATTTAAGTGCAATAGGTAAAAAAAAAATACCATTCTAAGCATTCACATTTTCTGAAATGAAACTATATTTTAGAATTATAAAATATTTTCTTTCTTTCTGATGTTTTTCCCACTGTACTTAGTGTTAAGTAAATCTAAAATTTCCACTTCTACCAAGAACAGTTTCTCTCTGCTCTTCATTCTGCACTCATGTTAATATTCAATTTTGTCTTTTATTTCTGATACTTACTTCTCCTGGTTCCCCTATCCTTACATTTTTTCCCTCTTTATTTTATTCATATAAATAATTTCCCTATATATTCGCTTCTTCCATTTTATGAGTACTCATATAACCAATTCAAATATAGATGTAAGTATTTAGTATTTTTATACCGAGGGGCCTGATGGTGGCACAGCGATGGCTCAACACTCTTCAATGCTGGCCCCACGTGGGAAGGTCCAGGTTTGTACCCCAAAGCCTCCCTGTATATACTGAACATATATGTCTCTGATCCGGGCTAAATGAAAGTGTAGACTGTAGCATGAGGGCACTGTGGCGGATGCTCCCACCTTCTGATGGAAGAAATGAACTGAACATTTTTTTTAATAAAATGTGACATAACATGGGAATATATTGGGTCGTTGGAAGTCAGGATGCATTTCTGTACAGAAAAATATATAACTTTCCCAACATATATTTTGTTTGTTTCTTTCTTTCTGTCTGTCTTTCTTTTTTTTTTTTTTTCTGAGACAGATTATTTTGCTATAAGGAACATGCACTCGCTAGAGAAACAGAAAGACAGAAAGCAAGAAATCACCCCTCAGGGAGGATAGCCATGCTGCAATCCCTTCTCCTCTGGCCTCCTCTCAGGATTCTGGGCATGCATGTACATGCACTGGCATTAAGTTTTAAGTCACTGGGTCCGGGACTTGAACCTCAGTCAACTATGTGGGAGTCCAGTGATGTAACCGTTATGCCAAGTGCTGGTACCCCTGATGTATATTTTTCTAAATTGATTATTTCTTTAGATTTTAAAGGTAATTTTTCTTTAAAATATTATCATAAATTAAACAAAGACTGTCCAAGTTAGTGTTATCTGCATCCTGAAAGTATGCAGAAAAGAGGCTAAACCTATAAGAAACAACACTGTCTACAATTCTGGCTCCTATTAAAACCAAAATCCTATTTAATACTGTCTATGTCAAATTAATTAAAGGATTCACTTCCAAGATATGTAAATAAATACAATCAAGTACTGAAATCTCAGCAAACCATTGCAAGTATTGTTTCGATTTGTGTGTAAGCATACAAGATACAAAACTATACTAGAATTAAGAATTTTATAAATCAGAAAGTGAGCTTCAATAACTCTACAGTAATAATAAAGCACTTATAAAGTTAAATAGCCCAAATCACCCAGCTACTTTCAACAACTGTCATTCATGCCATGGAAAGAAATCTCTTGGATATCACAACTTCCTTCTAACAAGAAATCTAAATTATCAACATTATAGTTTCTCTTTTTTGTTTTTCTTAGAAGCATTTAATTCTGTAGTCCTTTGAATTTATATTTTCTAAATTATTAACATTATACAATATCACTTATTTCATAGATCAACTCCTTTCGATTTAACATGACTTTAAAATGTTTTATATTTAAAAAGAAAAATATTCTGTTTCAGAATACAATAGTTTCTAGGCTGAATACAAACCAATTTTCCAAAGACCATGATGGAATACCAATTACATTTGATAGGTGCTTCTATGGAATGCCTTTTAAGTGTATGGCATGCTTGCTATAAGGCAGAATCAATCATATACACTATTCATATCATCTTTTTGTGATTCTTTTACTCAGTATAATTTATTACATTAATACAACCGATAAGGAATCATGTTAGGTGCTAGGTAGAATATAAGAGTAAGTAGAACAGAAAACTACATTCTAGTAAATTTCTTTTTTATACAAATAATTCCAGTGCAAATCACTATGCAGTAAGTCACAGAAATAACACATATGGTTTTATATTCATAAGGATCAAGTTACTGCTAGAAATGGTAATCAGGTAACTCTGGGGCAGGGGCTGCCAAGCAGTATGCCTAAAGCAAAGGAACAACGTGATCAACCATATGAGGGTGGGAAAGAGACAGGTTGTGGGACACAGCACTCTCAATTGTCTTACAGAGAGAACATACACATTCTGGAAATGCAGGAGATAGCGTGCAAAAAGCTGAGACCAGTCTTTGGAGGACCAACTGACCAAGCTACTTCATGTGAACTTCACTTATTAAATCATGGGAGGACACTCAAGATTTCTGGGAAGACAGGATGCATTTTTTAAAAAATACTCTTAATAGATGACTGTGGTTAGGGACCAGCAGGTGGCATGGTGGTTAAGGCACTAGGTGCTCCCAAATGATCAACATGGTTTAAGTCCTAGACCTGGTGGCTTGCTTTCTCACTTTCCTCTCTCTCTATGTGTGTCTCTCTCTGGTCAAATTAAAATAAACAAATGAATGAATGAATGAAATTGAATAAAATAATTCTTTAAAACAAACAAAAAAAAGAGATGACTCTGGCAACAGTATGTAGCTCTGATGAGAATATCCAAAAAATCCAGTACCAGATGTTAAGAGGTTTTCCCCAACAGTTCACCTGAGAAAGCCAGGGATAAAATTAGAAACATAAAAGTAGAGACAGGGAAAAACATTAGAAAAAGAGCCTAAGACTTGGTAACTAAAATGAGGCATAAGTATAGAAATAAGAAACACTTGGGACCAGCAGTTAACGTAATGGCTATGTCACTGTACTCCTATGTAGTCGACCGCGGTTTGCATCCTGGACCCAGTGGCTTAAAACTCACGCCGGGCACATGTGTGTGCGTGCCCAAGATCCCAAGAGGAGAATGGAGGAGATGGGATTGCGGTGTGGCCATCCCCCTGGGGAGTGATTTCTCGCTTTCTGTCTCTCTGTCTCTCTCTGTCTGTTTGGCGAGCACACACGCCTATAGCAAAAACCTCTCCAAAAAAAAAAAGAAGAAACTTAAGATTTGTAGTTCAGGAGATGAGAAGAAAAAGAAGCTGAGAGGAGAACTACTTGAGGGTTGAAGATAGACAGCTCTGTTTGAGATTTTACGGTAGACACAATATCTCAAGTTTTAACACGAAAAAAATATAATCTTTTGATTGGCCACACTTCCTAACCTACTTTAAAGTATGATTTAAATTTTGAATGGATGCTGATCTCAATGACCCACAAGGATAACTGAAATCTTCAGTATGTTGCCAGTAAAAATATATAGTTCATAAGTATTCAATATACATACATGTATCTAATTAAAATGTATATAGTCAGGTTGGCAGGTGGTATAGTGGTTAAGGTGCTGGATTCTCACATGGCCAACCATGGTTCAAGTCCTCAACCTGGTGGCTTGCTCACGTGCCCTCTCTCTCTCTCTGTCTTTCTCTGATTAAATAAATAAAAATGTAGTGAAATAAATAATTCATTTTTAAAAAAAGTTTATAGTCTCTGTTACATACTTACAGATTTTATAGCAGTTACTTTGTTCCGCAGACTTTCAGTGAGTCTCTCGTTTTCTTCTTCACAGGCGCTGTAGCCACTATTAGCATAGCCATAGTTGCCATAGTTGCCAGGAGGTACTCCTTCACCTGCAAGATCAGACACAAGTGTAGTTGTAGCAAAAACAGAACTCATTTTTGATACCTTGATAGGAAATAACCAAAAAAGACTCCTGGAGTGTGTTGTAGACCACATGTATCTATATCTATATTATACATACTACAAAAAATTATTTTAATTAATAACCAGAGTAATTTTCATTACTGTCTCATGCAAAGAATTCTTAATACATTTCAATACATATTTATTGTTTATTGAATGCCCAGAAGACACTAAAATAGGCACTGATATACAAGGATATACAGGATTCATTCCCTGCTCAACAGAAACGCATATGTTAATAGAAGAACGGCAAAGGGGTGGCAAGCTGAAACCTAGGAGAGAAATGGGGATAACTTATAGAGAATTTTAGCTGAGAGTTAAGAGGGGGAGTCATTCATTCTTCAATACATTTGATGAACTATCATGTATCAGATACACTGTTCTTTCTAGATGCTACTTGTACAAAGTTAGTATTCTAGAAATGGCATCGAGAACAGTCCCCCCCACCCTGTTTAATATGGTGCTTGATATTCACCAGGGAACTACACCACAAGTGGAGTAGCCTTAAACACTAACTACACACATAAACATGTTGGGGGATTGAGGAGAAAGCACTGTTAATAATCACATTTAAAAAATTGATACCAATGTCTCAGTAAAAGAAGAAAAAGGGCTATGTATTGGAGAATGGAAGTCATGGACTAACCAGCAAATAGAAAAACAGAGGAAAGTGACCAAGACTACACAGAATAACTAAGAAGACCAAACAAAACTGGTTTAGGCGATAGAGCATGGTGGCTTCAATCCTCCCAGATGGGTGCTTTTTCTAAAGAAGAGTTCACCGACCTAAGTGAGCCCATGAGAAACTGATGGTTGGGCTGACCTAGGGTTGGAGGTTTATAGCAGTGGGGCTGCAGGATAAGAGAGCTCTAAGGGGTTGAGATCGCTTAGATTATGGAGAATAGGTCAAGGTAGATTCTGCAGGGGCCAAAGAATGAAAGGAAAGGGGATAATATCAAAGCTTGCAGTCTCCATAGGTTCAAGTAACAGGTGGAGAGTAGTAACAGGAAGAGCCAGAAACAGGCGGTAGAGCCAGTGAATGCAGTTGAAGGGTAGCCAACATGTGAGGAGAGAAGTCTTTCAAGTCATAGCACAAATTTCACTTTCCCTAAAAGCAAAGGAGTCACTGAATGCTTACAACTCTGACTGTATATAACACTAAAAATATGTACACCCTATACTACAAGGAGAGCAACTAAACATTTTTTTTCTTGTTTTTTTTTTTTTTTTTTTTTTTTTTTTTCTTTTTTTTTCTTTTTTTTTTTTTTTGGGGGTTTTTTCTTATGGGGCTTTGC